TTTTTCTTAAAGCTCCCAAAAGCTCGCCCAACACGGCGAAAATCCTGTTTTTATGACAAAATTGATAGTAGTTACAGATTAGATGGTATTCCAGACTTTGTTCGCAATCGACACTGATCAACAGTTTATTGGTACTCGAATCATGGATCTTTAAGAAAAATAGTAATGCCAGTTAACAGTAGGAAATCATTTGAACACTTTCGATGCTTGCTGAAAAGAATTTGGCATTTATAAATTTTGATGAAGCAGTAGGGATTTTCGTTGCAATTTTATGTCGTTTGTTATAAAGTTCTATCAGCAATTTTATGTCGTTTGTTACAAAGTTCTAAAACTAGTTTGTTTTGTTTCCTAATGGCACAGAATAGGGTTTCACTATTCTTGTTTGTTTCTACATTCCTGACCATTCTAGCCATTGGCGGGTTCCCCTCCTTGGTGGAGGAAATGAAGGTAGGTTGATACATCTCATGTGTTCTTGTATAAAAAAATGCACTTGAATTTGTTTCCTTTTGTGATAGCTATATCATAACTACATCTGCATATAGGTCTTTCAATGGGAAAGATTAGATGGGCACTACACGGTTGGATCATTCGTTATCAGCCATGCCATATCTTCAATGCCATACCTACTTCTCGTCTCTATAATCCCAGGAGCAATAACTTACTTTCTCATAGGACTTCAAAGAGAACCCAGATTATTCATCTATTTTGCGTTAGTACTCTTTGTGTCAATGTCGTTGGTTGAATGTCTTATGATGATTGTAGCTGCCATTGTTCCAAATTTTCTCATGGGCATCATATGTGGCGCTGGAATCCAAGGATTGATGATACTAGCGGCAGGGTTCTTTCGATTGCCAAATGAATTACCCCATGTTTTCTGGAGATACCCTATGTACTATATTTCCTTCCACAGGTATGTATTACAAGGATTATACAAAAATGAGTTTGAAGGGCTAAAGTTCCCTGAGTATTCAGGAGGTCCTCCTACAATTGATGGTGAGACGATATTGAAAAGTGCATTGCAAATCGAGATGCGATACTCTAAGTGGATTGACCTGGGAATCTTGTGTGGTATGGTTGTTGCATACAGGGTTATACTCTTTTATACTATTAAAATAATAGAGAGAATGAAGCCTATTATTAAAGATTTTATGGTGTTTTCTATTTTTGGAAACTAGAAATCCTTCTACAAAACCCCATATGTTGTTTGTTTGACATTCTATTCTCTATATGAATTGTTACATTTGTGAATAAGACTGAATAACTAATTCCATTAATTGAATATAATGAATCTCTTACATGAGTACATAATGGGCATATACAGTTACATTACAAGCTAACAACTTTCTAACAAACTTTCTCAACTAACTTCACTGACTAATTTAACTAACTAGAATGTACATGTAATGTTGACGTGTTGAATTTTCAAGTAACCTAACACCCCCGCCCCCTCTCCTCCAAGCAGGAGGGTATGGAGATAAGCTCAGCTTTGAAATACCCTGATAATGGCATGCAGAGTGCAGGAGGTAAACCCTTTGTAAGAACATCAGCCAATTGGTTATGGACACGAGAGAGAGAGAGAGAGAGAGAGAGAGAGGGGGGGGGGGGGAGGGAGGGAGGGAGAGCATTAGGTTTTGCTCAAACAAAGTGATAATAAAGCTCGATATGCTTGGTTCTCTCATTAAAGATGGGGTTATTTGCAATATAATGCAACTTCATTGTCGGATTTCAAAGGAATTGGATTGATATCCTTGACTTGTAATCCATTTAAGAGTCAACTTAGCCATGATAACTTTGAACAAATTCTTCTCATAAATTGGTATTTAACTTCGGACGAAGAAGAAGAAACGGTAACTTGCATCTTTGATTCCCATGAGATAGGAGTAGCCAATATGAATCACAATATATGAATCACAATATGCTTTACGGTGAAAACATCGTTTGTTATTAAGAATAAAACCTTGAAAAGCGATTCTTTTAACGTATTTTAACACATGAAGAGCAATTGCATAATGATCTTAGAATGGTTGTTGATTAATTTGACATAAATGTTGAACCGAATAAGCTAATTAGCCCAGTTTTGTACTAGTGTAAGTCTTGTCAACTATGTAGCAAAAGATGAGTTTATCAATCAATTTTCTAATTGACTTAAATGTTGAACCAGATAAGCTATGCGAGGTCAAGTATGTAGGAAAAAAATTATTTGGTTAATCAATTTTGTAGATTGTAGGAGTAGATAAAGGTTCTCTTATGTTTGGCAACAAGTGTGAGTTTGCTATAAGTGGAGTAGAAGTTTTGTTTTCACCATCCACAATAAGTATGTAACAAGTCCATGACAAACTTATGTTGATGAACCACCCTACCTTCCTTGACTTTACTAAATTCCAACCCAAAAAAAATGAAAAAATCCCAAGTCTTTTATTTTGAATTGATCATCAAGAAACTCTTTCATAGATGATAGTTCATGAGCATCATCACCAGTAACTATGATGTCATCGCATAAACTGCAACCGTGAGAATTCTACCAAAAAGTTTCTTCAAGACAAGAGAATGATCATTCAAGGAAAGCGAGTAGCCTTTACATGGTAAAGCAACATACATCTTCGAATACCACTATCTCAAAGACTGTTTAAGACCATATAATGACTTCTTTAAACGACAAACATAAGATAGTGATTGTAACAGCCCAAAAATGTAGTCTAGAATTTCTTTTTAAGTCATTTAAGAAAGCCATAATTCATTAAACATCATAATAATAAAATCATAAGTCATGTATTTAAAAACATCGTATCAAAATACTATATCAAATCACATGTCAAAATATCAAAGTCTAAACATCCCAGGCTAAAAGCTATGTTGTGTGTCATGCAGTCGTCCCGAGCTCTTCCTCTTTCTAGTGGAAGTACCTAAAACCAAAACTGAAAATTGTAACTACGAAGCTTAGTGAGTCTCCCAAAATTACCACATACCATACATATAAACACATAATAGCATACATTGGGCCTTGCCCACTACATCAGGTCCCGCCTGGCATCGGACGAATCCGGCATCGGGCCCCGCCCGGAATCAAACTGAAGTTTGGTATATGTATAACATAGCAACATGCATATCACACATAAAAAAATAACATAACTATATAAACATTCATCGGGCTTGCCCTGCCATCAGACCGAATTCCGGAACACATAACACATAACATATAAGCTAAACATTCCTTGGGCTTGCCCCAACATCGGATCGAAGTCCGAAACACATAAACAAACACATGCATGAATCAAGAAGACATCAAGCATACAAACATTTCCCGGCTTGCCTCGGCATCGGACCGAAGTCTGGAACATATATAATCCACATCCGTCTATCCCCAGCATCGGACCTATGTCCGGAAAACGCTAACATATGTAAACGGGCCTGTGTTGTTGCCTTCGACGCGTTCCTACTGGAGGAAAACTCACCTCTCAACCTGGAAGCTGAAATCTCAAGTGAGGAATCTCTAATGGCTGTGCCAACGACTCCCTGGCTATAACTTTCACAATAAACACTTACTTAGAAACCGAGAATCCTTCTGAGGGTAAAAATGACCGTTTTACTCCTGGTCAAAGTCAACATTCTGCTCAAAGTCAACGTTCTGGGTTGACCCGACTCGCCGAGTTGCTTCGTCAACTCGCCAAGACTTAAAACCCTAAAATCGCGATCTAACTCATCGAGTCACCCCCTGACTTGTCGAGTTCCCTAGCTACTAATGGTCGTGATTTGGCGAATCAAATCGTCGAGTTATCCTCAGACTCGACAAATTCTACTATAAACAGAAAACGGGACAAAACGACTTAACTTAGCAGGTTCCTCTATAGACTGGACGAGTTCCTTTGTCTGTTTGGTCCATCTTAGCAGATTAAGCCTCTATTCTTCATATCTAAACACCATAACTCCTCTAAGTACTGGAAATACCTTCTTAAGGGCAACTTTCCAACTTTACCCGCTTATAGTCCTTCTTAATGGGTTTAGCTCAAACCCTACTTCTTTAGGACATAGATCTTTCTCCAAAAGCCTTATTACCCTAACCCAAAGCGAGAAAACCTAGATCTAGGTCCTAAACACCCAAAGAACACATAAAATCTCGGACTTTACTTCCATGCATGGCCCTTTTGGGCTTAAAAGTCCATAAAAACGTCCTTAAGCTTGCATGGGGCTTCCATGGTCATAAAGTTTGCACCTTTATGCCATGAAACCCCTTCTACATCCCAAATCTGAAAGGTAAAACACTTGGGACATCCATGTCCCAAGGATCAAGGTTCTTGAACCAAAACCCCTCCATAAATGGACATAAGAAGATCTAGTGAACTAATAGCCAAGATGGAGACTTGATTACTAGAAAATGATGAGGATGGAGGGAAGTTTATGGATCTACTATCTTCTCCTTAAGCCTTCTAACTCCTTCTTCTTCAAGCTTCAAGAACACACAAGATTACTAAAAATGGCTCATACACTCACAAAATGCTCTAAGGTTTCATGGATTAGGGTTTGGGACTTAGAGGTCGGAAATGAAGCCATAAAGTAGGGATTAAGCTACTTTAATACGGTGCAAAACCCTGAAATTAGGGTTTCATTCTGGAAGGCCTACTCGCAGAGTTGAGGGCCCCTTAACTCATCAAGTAGATGGCTTAAAACCCGCGTCCAATCTCGTTTCTACTCGACGAGTCTGGGGCTCCCAACTCGTCCAGTAGCTCTACAAAAATACACAATATACAATTAAATGTGTACCAAGAATGAGGTGTTATAGTGATTCAACGTGCAAGCCTAGGGAAGAATCATATAAACTTCTCCATGCAATTTACCATGAAGAAATGCATTGTTAATATCAAATTTATGTATTTCCATCCTATATTTACTGCAAGAGATTCAGTTGTTGAAACAGTGTTAAACTTGACTACAGGAGAAAACATTTCATGATAATCCACATGAAGTTTTTTTGCAAACCCTTGACCATGAGCCATGCTTTGTGACGTGTGACAACCCTATATTTTCCAAAAGCATTGTAACGCTCAAAAGTCAAATACAACTAAATTAACCTTGAAAATAAAGCATTCAAATATCTAAGTTGGGATGCATCAAATATAAGATAACGTGCCAAGGTTTCCGAAAACATAAAGAACGCTCAAAACCGGGTTATATTGAAGAAATGATAACCACTCGTATATTTACGACACGCCGTTAAAACATTATTTGACGTAAAAAGTAAAATCTCAATAATATGCATTTTAGCCTTAAGTATCAAAACAAAAATCGTAGATCTCGTTGAAAGGTGAGTGTGCATAAAAAGATCGCCCAAATTGGACCTCGTATGAAGAAGTTACGAATTTTTAATGTTTCGTAACAGTAGTAGAGGGCTAAAAACTCGAATTGAAGATCGAGTGTTAATTAGCTAACGCAATCTAAATGAGAGTTGAAGATCTCCACAATAGGAGCAAATTGATAAAAATACAAACGAAAACCGACGCCGAATAAAGAACCTATAAATCATAAACGGACTTTAGGAGGCCCGGCCTATTTAAAATTATGTCATTAAAAATAAAGTCAAAACTAGCCGACGGAGTCTAAAGGAAAGTTGTAGAGAATAATCTCACCTACGCGTGGATATAAAGAACACGAAAAACGGAGCTCGTACGCAAAAGTTACGGAATTTAGAAGAGGACAGGCCGGATTACGCCCCGCGTTCTCTGGGAGTACGCCCCGCGTACTAGACCCAGAGTCGAGTCCCATCGGCCCACCCACTCTACGCTTAGCTAGCCAGGATTCGTAAGCCATGACGCATTCTTACACCCAGCGTAACGAGGTACGCGCTGCGTACGTGAGTACGCCCCGCGTACTCCAAAATTACGCTCCGCGTACTCACTCCTCCAGCACTATAAATAGATGGCATCAGCTGCGAGTTTAGGCACACTTTCTCAAATCTCCAGTTACTCTCACACACTTCCAAGCACCAGAAGCTGTCCC